ATGATTTAATATTTTGTGAATGTTTTTGATTAATACAAAAACACTCTAAAGACTCACAGAATTAGGGCTTTTCTTTCCCTTTTGTGTATAGCCTGAAATTGATACAAATGTTCTTGGAAGCATAGCCATTCCTAGGAGTTGGGAGCTAAATCAAAATGGACTCTGGGTGTGAGAGTTTCTTCTGAGTCAATATTGACCAGGCTCTGCTATGCAGTATGTTTCCTATGAATTTATTTCATGAATCTCAAATGTAAGATCACTGTGTCAGGGATACCACATCACCCAATCCCAGGAGGCATCATTTGCTAGAATGCAGTGCTAATATTCATTCCCCAGTCACACATGCTGCCTCCTCTAGCATTACTTAAGGTCATTAACAGAGTGAACTCATTGACTCTTCTACTTTGAGAACTTTCTTCCATATACCCAGAGAGTTTCCAGTTTGAGATTTAGGTAAATTTTTCCTTTAGAGTTAAGCAGACATCTGATTAATCTTTTATAACATTGAGTTAAGTTGTCAAATCAGTATGATTACGTCTATGTAATTCATGGATAGGATGGGTATTTTTAAAGGATTCAGATAAGGAATGGATGATGGAAATTTGAGAAATTTCATCCGTGTAGATGAGATGAAGCCCAAATGAGTGGGGCTTTGGCAGCAGATATGGAAAGGGACTACAAGGTGCCTGGTAGAGGAAAGAGAGGGTTAGGATGTAGGCAGTAAGAAACTGAGAAGGGTAGAGAAAGGGCTCCATGTAGGATTCAAATACGACATGCAAAATATGGCACAGAAATAGCCCTATCTACTTAGTATGAAAGGTTCATAGTAGAACGAATGAGAATAAGTTGTCTCTGAACCCACAAGTACAGTAGTCACAAGTACCACAGCCACTAGTATAGCTTTACTTCTAATATTGTCACATTTCTATCCTCCTTTATCCTCTCTCTGTCCTCCTGAATCTCCCTCTATCCTGCAGTGGAGTTTTGCTTCTCCATAAATTTAATGAGATATGTGTACATTATGCCAAGGAGAGCCATCTTCCTATATTATCTCCCTTAGAAGTCTAGAGTACCAGTTTCTCATAGCACCAGTTGGATCACAAGTAGGGTGTTTTCAATCAGTCCTTTAGCTAGAAGGGGCAAGCAGGAGGACCAGACTCACCCACACAGAGTCCAAAGCATGTGCTCCATGAATTCCATCAGATCATTCTTCCTTAATTTCCCTCTTACATAATTTTTCCTTTATGACATTTTCATAGCTAGCTTATAATAAATACCACAGGCAATGGCACTCCTTTGCATTGTCAAGTCTTCTACCCAAAATGCCCCACCTGTCCTGACTTAGCTCCAGTATGGTCTGATCTTCTCCTGTAGACTTTAGACTTTCTCTCTCTTTACTTCCCAGTTCCACCTGAGTTGGATGCCATGGCTCCTCTTCTCATCTGGGCACAATTTTATTCTCATTTAATTTTGATTTGTTTCTCTGTTGCCCTCAGCAAATTCAAGGGCATTTGGTTAAAAAAAAAAAAAAAGAGATGATTTTTCAAATGCTAAGACAGTAGTACCTGATGGTGCCTGCCACTTAGGATAATTTCAATAAATATTAAAGGAGTAATTTTTTTCTGTTGATTGAAGGGATTTTATGTCATTTTTTTCTGAATTTTTCAGAGCAATATAATGCTCTGTAAAAAATTAGAAACCTGCAAATATTAAAAAAAACATAAGAGCAATTATGAAGTAGTATCAAGTGTATGGCATTGTAGAACAAAATACAGTAGTCTCCCCTTATCTTTGGTTTTGCTTTCTGTGCTTTAAGTTATGCACAGTCAATCATGGTCTGAAAATATTAAATGGAAAATTCCAGAAATAAACAATTTTCAATTGTGTGCTGCTCAGACAGCATGATGAAATTTTATGTTGCTCACTCTGTCTTCTCCACTAATGGGACTCCTCCTTTGATCCAGTGTCTCTTTACTCTTTATGCTACGTTCCCATTAGTTTCTTAGAGCCACCTCTGTTATCACATCAACCACTGCAGTATTATAGTGTACAAGCAAGCCTTGCATAGTTACCAAATGCTACATCACAATATCTATGCCATTCACCTTGCTTCCTCTCATCACCTGGACAATTGTGTCATCCCATATAATCACAAGAAAAAATGGTGAGTATAGTACAACAACAAAGTCTGAGAGAAACTATAAATGCATAACTTTTATTACAATATATTATAATTGTAATCATTCAGTATGTCTACTGTATAAATTACCTTTATCATAGTTATGTACATTCAGGAAAAAGCTTAGAACATATAGGGTTCAGTACTATTCACAGTTTCAGGCATCCACTGGGGTTCTTGAATGTATCCCTGCAGACCAGTGGAGACGATGTACTATGTGTGGAAAGTGAATAAAAAGAAGAAAGTGCAGCGGGATATCAGCTAAATGTGAGAAAGAGGTCAGATGGAAAAGGAAATCATGGCTAGAGGAAAGAGTGAGGAGGATAAGAAAAATAACATTGACACTGTGGTAGGCAGAGAAATCAGCCTGACAGAAAGTTCTGAAGAAGGAAGATCTTTCTGCAGCCTGTCCCCAAGAACACAGTCAGGAAAGCCAGATAAGAGGCTTTGTAAGTAATCCTGCCTTTTAACAGTAACACATCACCAAGCAAATTACAGGGCTGATCATAGAATCAATACAAGAAAGCAAATATTTGACACTGAAATTTGTTCAGAGGAAGAGGAAGCAACATGTCCTATAAATGGCACATGCCCCGGGTATGTAAATATGGTGGCTTGATGCTCTTGGTCAGAAGATAGTGGCTTCAGCCTGAGCGAGTACCTCTAATATTATAAAAACACCACACTTAGAGTTTGAATGTATTGGGTCATATGGAAGATAAAGTCTTGAATGCACTCAGAAGAGAACCCGAAATTTTCTATTAAAAAAAAAAAAAAACCTTTTCTAGAATAAATTAAAATTTTATACTTGTTCCTTCATATTTTTATTTAATACTTTTTAAAAAATCTCTTTTATACTCAATTAGGTAGACTTTATATCACTCATATAAGCACATAAAACTGAAAATAAGAGCAAAATAAATTGGTTAAGGAATTCCTAAAACAATTTTCCTGTAAACAGTTTTGTAAATTGTAACTGAATACTATAAAGTGCAAGTATTCAAAGTGTACAAATTGTTCATTTTAATGTATGCATATGCTGGGAAACCACTACAATTAAGATAATGGATATATTTATTACCCCTGAACATTTTCTTGGATTTAAGGTAATCCATCCTTGCCTGTACCCTATCCCTGAGCAATCACTGGTCAGCCTTCTCACATGCTGGTGTATTTATTTTAGAATACTATGTAAGTACAGAATAAATATTTTCCTTTTTTTTTCCCATTTCCTTCTTTGGACTGCCTTTATTCACTCTTCAGAATGAGTTTGCATTTCTCCATGTGGTTTGTATGCATCAATAATCATTTTTATTGTTTATAGTTTTTACTCTATAGATAGCCTAGAATTTGTCTCTCTGGGTAGCCTTTTTGAAATTATGATACATGCATGTATATCTCTTTCTTAAAAGTGTCCCTAGGGAAATTATTAGTCTGTCCATTCCTCATTTCTCACCTCTATAAATGTATGGGTTGAATGTCTGTTTTATAGATGTTTAATGATAATTAAACCATTGACACATTGCTTAGCACATAGTAACTAATAAACATTAACTTATTTTCTAAGTTTCTATTCAATTGCCTGATGGTATTAATTATAACACTTTCCTTCTATTAAAATACTTTCTATTTATTTTAGTGTCTAATTACCTTGACCATTACAACAATTCTTGCCTTATATTTCATTAAACAAAAATAGGGCTACCAGTATGGTTGTCTTCTTAAATTATGATCATTCTTTTGGTTTCCATTGTCCTCTGTAACTGGTTAATCACTTTTTGCCCAATGCTGTACACAGGTGCTCAGTGAGAACACAAAGTCTGTATAGGCAAGACTTAGAGCCAACAATCAGGAAAGATGAATGTCCACTTCTAGTAATTATCAGCTGTGGTTTCATTGCAAATTTTGTGTTGTAGTGAGATGATGTGTCCACTTGAGGAACTTTAGGGGAGGGACGATGGTTGGAGAGGACCCTGGATGTGAGGAAGCAGCGAGAGCTCTTCTTCTAGTGCTGCCACAGTGGAGTTCCCTTTGTTTTCTTTTGTAAATCATATTTTCCTCACTGCTGCTCATTTAAAGTGTGCCCACACTGAATTTTTTTGCCTAAATCATACTCCTTCTATTACATATACTATTATATATTTAAATATACATATAAAAATATAACAGTGTCGTATGTAAATATACACCAGTGTTGATTTTTCTTTCTCTTCATATTCTTCATGTTATGCCCCACTAAGCTAGCAAATCTATTTCAGGTGGCAGGTGGCAGTGGATGAAGGAATTTAAATTTCCCCTGTGAATGTTGGAAGTAGAAGTGGGGGCTGTGAGATCTCTTTGTTTTGCTCTGACACCAATTCTAGTCTCTTACATTTGATCTGATTTATACATGTTTTGATTCAACAAAAAAAAAAATGGTGCTTGTGGTAATGCCTGTGTGTAAAGTGGGTAACAGAACAGTGAAATTATGAATGAGAAGAGAAAATGTCCTCAAGGTGATTAGTGGACACCATGGTTTCTATATAGAAGGATGAGTATATCGTAATGCTATTAGAAATTTCATAATAGAACTAGGAATTCTGAATATGGGTGGGCCGCCTACAAACTTCTGAAGTCTTCTGTCATTACAGTACTACCTACCTATAAAAATCCCATTGAATAAATAACTACAAAGCAGTTACCTTCTATTTACTACTCAGAGAAGTGGAGACTCCTTTATTTAATTTTAATATCCTAATTATGCATAGGTACTTGCACCCACCAAGAGTTTTCATGGAAAAGTAACTATTTTGAATAATATAATGCTTTTATATTTTATCAGGATAACACTGTAATATGCAGAAATCTACAACTTCTAATACCTCTGTGGAGATGCTGAATTCCACCCACCAAGGCACAGGAGCTGTGCAAATGAGAATAAAAAATGCCAACAGCCACCACGACCGGCTGAGCCAAAGTAAATCCATGATCCTCACCGATGTTGGGAAGGTCACTGAACCTGTAAGTCAAATGTTCCAAATACCCCAAGTTCCCTTATCATACAGAATTTTAAAAGCTAATTAGCTTTGTTTTATTTGTTTTCCTAATGTGCATGAGAAAACTGTTTTTGTAATGCATTTTATCTTGCCTACTTATAGTCATAATAATATCCCCAGTTGCAAGAGAAGAGCTGGGTCTAATCCAAAGCGATAAAGTGGATTTGGAGCTAGGCTGAAGAGCACCTTTGACTCATTTTAAGGGCTTCTACTATCATGCTTCAGTGTCATAAAAATAATGAGGTTATGCTAGCATGTGGTGTTTGTACTTCCAAATACAGTACATCACGTTGAAAAGCCAGAGGCTAAAATTAGCTAAGAATGAACTGAGAAAAAAAAATCTTTGAAAACATGTGAAAATTCTTTTCCTTAAAATCTCCCAGTAATATATGATAGTGGAAATTGTGATTGGATTTGGAATGGGCTTACACGATTGGAATGGTGTGGCTAGTTAAGGTTTGGAGAGGAAGCCATTCTGTCTAGATAATGTGTCATTAGGAAAATTTGAAATAAAATAGTTAGAGATGAACTCTACTGCCAATTGTGTCCCTGGCCCTGCACACATCCTGAGCCACTAAACCCACTGATTGCGATGAGTCTCCTCTGGTTAATTTTCTTCCATAATGGTGGTAACTTGCAGCTGAGGCCATAGGATGTTACAAAATTATTTATGCAATGTTAGCCACTCTTTTGGACCCCAGATCTATTTTGTTTCTCACAGTGAGAACAAGAGCAAGAAATAGGTTAGCTGGGGACAGACTGTAAGTCCCAGTCACCCTGCAGAAACATGTGAGCTATTAATTGAGTGTTCTGCTAATATCGTAGGGGCCTATGAAATATTCAGCTCTCTAACTGAGTTATTAAATGAGATAAACTTGCTGACTAGCATGCTACAGATTATATTTATTCCCCATTTTTCACTTGAATTTCAAGTGCAGAATTAACCCGGAGTACTCTCAGGAGCTTGAGGAACACATGGATTTAAACATTCTTTCCTCAGGTGTTGTAGACACATTTAGCATGAGGAAGCCAGTGATTATATCGGGGGAATCAGAAATACATCTTTAGATAAGGTAACTAATGGAAAATGCATTTTTCTTTACTCAATTTCTCATTTAAAAGTATTGTCTGCTGGGAGGCATGACACTGTTGTTAGTTGACTTCACTTTTAAAGCATCTAAAATGTTCCTCAAGTATAAGCTTGAGATAGTGGTTAGAGTAAATTATTGGATTCTCTCTATATATTATCAGTAAGAATTGTACCTTTGAAAAAGTTTAAAAGTTAAGTATATTTAATGATGCCTAACATATTTTATTGGCTGTGTTTAACAAAAGGCACTATGCCGCAGTTGTTTTTGACAAGCATGAAAACATCACAGCATGAGACTGCAAAAGGAATTATGGAGAGAAATTACAAGTGATCCATCTCTCAATGAATTATCCACCTCAATAGCCCGCAGAACTCAGCTACCAATTAACACCTACTTTATTACATGTTGGGATGTACTTAATAACTTTCATGTGTTTATGCACTATTACCTTGACTGATGCCTCTTGTACAATTAGGCATAATTGGCATATCAATATGCAAAAGTTAAAAGGATTAACCCTCTTAAAACTAATGAGCATTTCTGTATCCAGCTGCTAAATGAGACAAAATTAGCATTTTTCACTTTTGGGCAGGATTTTATCATGCAGTTTCTCATTGTTGATATTACCTTGTTACATAACTTTAGTTTGGGGGGTTGTATGCTGGACTGCTAGAGAATAAGAGTTTTCCAAAGTTAAATTAGCTATAATTATCCCAGCTTTTGTTTCCGCATTCTTAGCCTGGGCAATATGTATTCCTCGATAAGGAACAAAAATAAAAGTTACTTTTGGTTATGTGTGCTCAGTGCATAATTATATAAAAGGGGTATTTTAGTGAGGATATGTCATTTCACCAAGAAAACTTGGCTCAGAGATACTGTATTGAAAGCTTGCCATGGCACTAATTTTCTTTCTGTCTCAGTTCTTTTCATCTCTTTTCCCATGCACAATTTTCTGACTAGATACTGACAGAATGTAAAGTATTTTGGCATATTTATTCAAACAAGCCTGTTAAAGTTATCTGCTCAAGCTAAACTAAGAACTTGATTTTTTCAGAAGTTGGGTGATGGGGTGAGGTCAAGGAAGAGATTTTGAATTTAGGAGAAGTGGGAAGAGATATCTTCTAACCTGCCCGTGTTCATGTGAAGTACACTTAGTTGTAACAGAAATTCATATAAAATTGCATACTTAGAGACCATACACATGTTTTGCATCCTATTTGATAAATGTCTTATATATAACTTGTTCACCAAGTATAATGGTTATATAAGTCTTATATAGACTTTTCCAACTCTACAATGCACAAGAATCTTATTTACATAATTCATATTGATGTTATTACAAAAATGAGATTAAATATTCTGATATCACGTTGATTGAATCACTTTGTCATTCACTCATGATTTTTTTTATTTTGTTCAATTCAAAATATTTTATCATGATTATATACTTAGAACACAGTATAAAATTCATATATGGCATTAAGAGCCTCTAAATATAAGTATTTTGATATGTCAGAATAAGCATTTACTCAAGCCTGAGCTATAAAAAACACAGGTGAATTTACTTTTAATTTATAAATTTTGATAACTTGAAACATTGCTGGAAAGCATTTCAGTAAAACAGGTATTAGTGTTCCCTTAAATTTTATAGGTGATAGCCCTCATTTCCTTAAACACCAAATACTTATTTTTATTTGGTTAATTAGTGCTTTTTTCAAATTTCAAAGAGATTACTTGGCTACCTGGGGAATGTTGAGAGGTGGGAAATATGGAGTACAGGGTTTGTAAGAAAATTGCCTATCAAAAGAGATCTGGAGAGCTGCATTCAGTGGGGAAGGAAGCTCTTTGGTCTTGGTGATTTGTTGTCCCATCCTGAGCCCCAGAGTGAGGCCTCTTAAAGGTGAATGGCTTATTTACCAGAATGTGTTGAACAGAAAGCAGACAGCTGACTGTGAGTAAATGGGGCAAGTGAAGTGCGCCTGTTTAAGGGCTAAAAAGGCTAATGTGCAATCCTGCAAATAGCTAATGTGAAAGGTTTACGTGCTTTGATGTTATTTATAAGAAGGATGCTCTAGCCTACTAGACAGTGTAGAATAGATATTAATGAAGAGTTTAAGTAGCCCAAATCAGGAAACTGCAGACCTAGGATTTGCAGGCAGGAGTAATTTAGGCATTTAATGCTGGTGTCTTAAGCAGCAACATGTATGAATATTCACAGTTTCCCTCTTGCAAACCCACAGAAGGGCATTACTTCATTCATGGCCGTCGTGAACAGGAAAATATCTTTTTATTGGTGTTCAGATAAAGACTTAGGTCAAGACATTCCTAAACGTTAACATACAAGACTCCTTTTACTTCCATTAACAGATTGTGTTTGTTCATTTTTTCTTTTTAATGCATTATCAGGAAAAAGAGGAAACAATTTTCTTTTGTTTCTTACTTCTGTGATTATAGGATACTTGCCAAAGTTGTGGCTAGCCAAAAAGGCAGACATAAAAATTGCTACTAAAAATATAAACCTTCTGTTTAGCAGAGTTTTTGAGAAATATTATGAGATTGTAGGGCTTGTCCATGTTTACTCCAAATCAAGCTTATAGTTAGGTTTGAGGCTTTGTTTGTATAAATTGTCCTGAAGTGGATCCTGATATTTAATTAAAATGACACTAAATCACATTGAATTGATAAGACTTGGCATCTCAAACAAAGGTAATTGCCCGTATTGGTTTTGTGCAAAAATAGCACTGCTTGGAAAATGTGCAGCCAACACAGACTGTCAACTCCATTTATAGATCAATATGTGAAAACCATTGATCAGGCAGGCATGTGTAACAGTAACACTTTGCATTTATTTGTTGTTTTTATACCACATTAAGGCTTACAGGATTATAGGCTTCCTAAATATTTTGACTTCCTCATAAATATATGATCTGTTGCATGTTAATTAAATGAGAGTCTGCAGCCATTTCTAAAATTGTTTTTAGTTTGATGATTTCCTTTTATTGCTGTGGATCGCATGATCTGAAAATGGATTAGTTTCCTTCTGCATAAAGATTATTAAAGCTTATTTTAATGTGTCCTATTTAGTGTAAGATGTGACTGCCTTTTTGCTTTGAAAAATATAGATACCGACAATTATTTTCTCTTAGCGAGTGCCTGATCTTTTTTTATTAACTGGGCATTCTCAGCACTCAGGGTAGAATTATTTCCTGACATATTTTGCACACCCTGTAGATAACAGGTCTTTTTGATTTCCCTGATAGAATTTGTTTTCTTTCTTTTCTTTTTATCTAGCTCTATGATGCAGGCATCTGATCAAACATTATGTAGAAAATAAACTGATCATCTCAATTAAATTCCACACACACACAAATATAATTTGAATTCTGTTTTTTTTTCTGATTTGAGAACAAGCCTTATGAACTGTTCTTACATGCTGCATTCTGCAGTTAAATCTTTCTTATCTCATCAATGTAAGGACAGTGTTCTGTTCCTAATCTTTATTGGACTATTGTAGATGACATTTGTAAGCCATTTTGGTTTATAAGGAAAAGCTAGAGGACAGTGGAGTGAGACTCTCCATAGATCCAAGCCTCTGATATGACTATGCAATAATGTGTCTTCCACTGCAATTTTCTTTGCCACTGAGAGGTCAATTCTGTTGAAAAATCTTTTTATATCCTCTCTATATATTAGGAGTGCTGCTTTCATAAGAAAATATTTAGTTTTATATGCAGTATTAGAATTTACAGTATTTATACACAATATTAGAATAATGAAGGAAACATGATTTCAGAAACAGCAAAAACTATATCAACAAATGAACACAAAATTCAAAGGTTACCTAAAGTAAGTAATTTAGAGTAGTTTGCATTCA